ATTCACACAAAAAAATCATACGAACTCCTTGTGACATTTACTTCATATTTTAAGCTTTAAATCAATTTTGATGTCAAAACAAATAAATAATTGGCTAGATGCGTGGCAGTGGTACGATGGTCAGGTGCAAGGTGTTTGGCAAAGATGACAACGTTTTGAATGATTATATTACGGAAAATCATCTGTTTCAATACTCACAACTCTTTCCGCATATTTCCTTCCCTTTAAAGTTGGAAGTTTTTCCATTTCAATGCAATTTCCTTCCCTTCTATAGAATCTAAAGTTGTGACAATATTTTGGTTATGCACGGGACTTTCGCATAGCCTGCATTCTTTTGTACAAATTTTCTTATTCAATTTCTCAAATTTGAATAAATATGAAGCCCTAATGAAATCTTTGTGATGCTTTTATGAAACATATTTTGACAAAAGTCAAAATGACATGCTTGGAGCTTTACAAATTATGCAATGTGCTAATATTTTCTTCTATTACCCAAAATGATGCACCAATGACGCACTAGTGAATTCATTCAAACACTTTTATAAAACTTGTTTTGGCAGCGTGATACTCGTAGAATAAATATAAATGATTCACTTCCTCCAATTATTACTTCAAATTTCCCAAACTCAAATTTCCATAAATAGTAATTAAGACTTCTTAGTAAAAATAAAATAAAATTTAGGAAGCTTTAGTAAAGCGATGTTGAAGCCGTAGTGAATCCTTTTGAAGCGTTTATGGAACATATTTTTGTGGCAAACAAGTGATGTTGCAGCATTGTGATTCTGAACACAAGGCAACCAAAGCTTTAAACAAGGGCCTGCACAAATTAAATGAACACAATAAAAAGAAAACCAAGCTGCTAAAATTCCAATTTTGCAGCATCCCTCTGTAGAAAGGAACAACCAAGAAAATATGTCCCGTATGCCCATATGGAAGCAATAAATGACCAGCATGCATAAGGCTATGAGATGGCAAACAATCATTATCAATAATTGGAGCCCTGTGAAACCTATAGCATAACTCGAAACAGGCCATACCTGCAATGAACTCCACAACACTGTTGTCCTCTATCCAGATGCAAACTAGAAGAGAAACACGAATATATCACAAGGAAAACTAAAATTTCTGAAGAGCCCCTACTATTTGACAGTTGTAAAACCTTTTCCCCCCGACTAACAATTCAGTGAAGGGAAGGGCAAGGCAGGCAAAAAACCCCTCAAGTCTACATCTATAATCCCAAATTTTCCACATACCCGCACACCAAATACCCATTTCGCCAAAATTAATGTCTTCGCATGAGATATATTCAGAATACCATATTTTTAAATGTTCAAATTAAGAAAAGGAAGAGGACTGTACCAGATTTCTTAACCAGAGCAAGGAAGGAAGGAGATGACCTCAGCAAGAGACAAGAACCAGAGAAAATAAAGAGAAGAGCTCACTTGTGTTAATCATGAGGAGACAAGAACCAAAACATAGTCTTAATCATCAAACAAACACATAATAACGTAGCCGAGTTCAATCCATTCTATGCTTTTCTATAGCCCATAAATCAGAAATATTGGTACAAAGAGTAGACAACAAGCAGAGACATGGAATTTTTTTAAAAAAAATAACCGCAAGATCATATCCTAATACCCACAATCAATCATATTCAACCCCAATACAAATCACCCACCCAAACAAAATCTATTTTTTCTTTTTTTTTTTTTTTTTTTTGCCTTTCTTCTAAATAAAACGCCTCAAATCTTCACATACCCGCACACCCAAAACCCATTTCCCAAAGGGAAAGCTAAATCCAGATTGGAAGCCAAGCCAATCATGATAGTTTTCACGAAAAAATTTCAGAAGAGAAGAAGAGTGATGCTTTGTATAGAATTGAAGGCAGGAAACCAGTCCATTGATCCGTCTCTAGATATTGGTAGATGGAAAAATAGATGAGAAAAGAGGGATGTAGTTCCAATCAAAAAAGAAAAGAGGGATGTAGTTCATGGAGATTGAAAAGTCATCTGGAAAGGTAAAGCTGATTGCTTTAAGTCTTTTAATATAATTTTGGGGCTAAAATATCAACATTCAAGGGCAGAGACAACAATGCGGGAAAAAAATGGCGCCCACGCGGGAAAGAGTATTTCCCTTTTCGGAAAAAGTTTGGGAGGAGAGAGGAGACAGAACAAATTGAGGGTCGGATTCTAGTACAACAGATTCACTTAGAATTGCTTTTTCTGAGCCATTAGATTAAATCCAACGGTAATCTCACATAGAGATTCTCAAAAACAAGTCCCCACCAGAGAATAGCCCTTCTTTCAATACAAAAGTGAAAGTGGGTAAGGAGCCTTCAAGGAACCACCCTACTAAGAAATGATGTGAAAATTCACATGACAATATACACACCTAATCCACAAGACGGAAAAATGTTGAAAATATTCTTTGCAAAGGCCCAATGATGGAAAATTAGCACGGGACTTTCGCATAGCCTGCATTCTTTTGTACAAATTTTCTTATTCAATTTCTCAAATTTGAGTAAGTATGAAGCCCTAATGAAATCTTTGTGATGCTTTTATGAAACATATTTTGACAAAAGTCAAAATGACATGCTTGGAGCTTTACAAATTATGCAATGTGCTAATATTTTCTTCTATTACCCAAAATGATGCACCAATGACGCTCTAGTGAATTCATTCAAACACTTTTATAAAACTTGTATTGGCAGCGTGATACTCGTAGAATTGATATAAATGATTCACTTCCTCCAATTATTACTTCAAATTTCCAAAACTCAAATTTCCATAAATAGTAATTAAGACTTCTTAGTAAAAATAAAATAAAATTTAGGAAGCTTTAGAGCAACTCCAGCGGGGGAGCCCAGCCTGAGGCTGGGGAGGAAAAAAAAAGTTGTTCCAGCAGACAGCCCAGGCCCGAGGGAGGTGTGGGACCCACCAACTTGGGCTGGCCCGAAAAAGCTTCAGCCCGAGGTCCAAAACGAGGGCTGCTGACGTCAGCGCTACAATATCCGCTACAGTACCATTGATTTGATTTTTTTCCCTGTTGCCACGTGGCATCGTCTGGGCTCTCCGATCTGATTTTTTCCTCCAATCCAACGACAACCAATTTTTTTGCAATAAAATACTGGAAAAAATTCGGAAATTTTTTTAAAAAATACCCAAAAATTAATGAATTTTTTTCTATAAATACCAGTCAATTTTTTAAAAAAATTTATCTGAAATTTAAAATTGAAAATTTTATCCGATTATGAGATATGAATAGTATTGACACGTAGGAACCCGAAAATATTATCTAAATTAATTATTGTGGTAAAAAAAGTTGTGAAAATAATAAAAAAATGAATAGTAATTGCCCTTTGCCATGGCAACGAGTGAAAATAGAAAATACTATTTGCAAGGGCAACTACTATTCACAGGAATAGTGTCTGCCCTTGCAAAAAGTAAGTTCCACTTCCAGCAGTTGCCATGGCAAAGGGGGGTACTATTCAATTTTTTGTTTTTTTCACAAATTTGTTTACCTAAACAATTAATTTGGACAATATATTCGGATGAAATTTTCTGATAAAATATTCGGATAAGATTTTCGGTTTCAAATTTCAGATAAATTTTTTTTTCAAATTTCAGATAATTAAAATTGAAAGTGAAAAAAATTTAGAGTTGAAAGTGAAAAAATTATTGAGTAGAAAGTGAATTTGTTGTTAAAAGTGAAAAGTATGGATTGGTATTTATAGAAAAAAAATTCAGTATTTTTTGGGGTTTTTTTAAAAAATTTTACGATTTTTTTTCATAAATTTTTGCCTTGAAAAATTCCAAGCCGTTGGATTGGATGAAAAATCGGAAATCGGAATGACCAGGTTGCGCCACATGGCAGTGAAAAAAAAAAAAATTAATTGCGCCTGCTGACGTCAGCTGCCTTCAGGCTGGAGCTCAGGCCCCCCCCTGCCTTCGGGCCAGTCCAGGCAAGTGGACCCCACACTGCCCAGGCCAGCCTTTGTTGCTGGAACTTTGGGCTCTCTCTCGCCTCCCTCCTCCCCCCCCCCCCCCCCCCCCCCAACCCGAGGGGGCTGCTGGAAATGGCCTAAGGGCAAATGGGTGGAGTTGCTCTTAGTAAAGCGATGTTGAAGCTGTAGTGAATCCTTTTGAAGCGTTTATGGAACATATTTTTGTGGCAAACAAGTGATGTTGCAACATTGTGATTCTGAACACAAGGCAACCAAAGCTTTAAACAAGGGCCTGCACAAATTAAATGAACACAATAAAAAGAAAACCAAGCTGCTAAAATTCCAATTTTGCAGCATCCCTCTGTAGAAAGGAACAACCAAGAAAATATATCCCGTATGCCCATATGGAAGCAATAAATGACCAGCATGCATAAGGCTATGAGATGGCAAACAATCATGGGAAATTGACTTGGATAATCACAAAAGATAAACCATAATCAAATATATTCACTTTATAAATTTCAATCAGAAATACTCACTTTGTAACATGAAAGTACCCAATTGCCCTCCATATAAATACATTTGTATTGACCCTTTATCCCATCAAAAATTCATTTTTCTGAAACCCAACTCCTCTCCTCTCTCGCACTCTCCCAAATCTTGCTTAGCCATGACTTCATAGAAAACAGAGAGAGTAACGGCCATGGCGATGACGTCGATGGATTCTCCAAAGTCTGACCTGGACACCGACACTGAGCTCATTACCAATCCAAACCTTAACCCTAACCCTACTTCTTCAAACCCTCCCCGCCTCCTACAATGGCCCTGCTGTCTGCCTTCTCAAGTTTGGCGGAGACTCCGCTGGTGGGGCATTCATGGGCTCCATTTTTCGCTACAGTCCTCTCTCTCTCTCTCTCTCTCTCTCTCTCTATATATATAAATATGTTTATATATGTATACATGCGTATGGAGTGTTATGCTTTAATTGCTTAATTGTGGTGTTTCTATATGGGAATTTGAGTGGTGCTGATATAAGATTTTGAGTGTTTGACAAAATATGATTTTCGTTAATAGTGTTTTGGGCTTTGCGAAAGGGAGTTAATTTTCTCTTTCTGACTAACGAGCTGTTGGAGTTTTTGTTGAGGTTTGTTTAGTGTTGCTAATGGTTGAGGTATGCTAGTGTTTTGAGATGTGAAATTGTGGTTTTCTCTAATGGTTGAGGTATGATAGTCTTTTGTATTTTTCAGTTCGTATCATGTGGGTTTCTGTTGAGTATTGATATAGTGATTCTTAATATGCTTCCGGATATGTTTTCTGCTGAAATTCCTTATATGAAGTGTATGAATTTTGAATTCGAAATTGTTGCATTTGCCTTATCAAAACCTGATATGGATGCAAATAGGTCTTGTTGCGATTGATTTTATTATTTATCAGAACATGGGAAAGCTGAAAATAGGTATCTTCATGAGATCCTTGACCAAAATTTGAAGTATTGCAAGAGCATTAAGTAGACCTCCCCTGATATATACTGCTTCAGAAAATTTTGGTTGTTCTGTTCACTATTGCCTTCTTTAGGAAGCTTATAAATTACATGTGGAGCTTCTTGAGTCAAACAATTCCACATTACCCCATTATTGTTCTGTGTATTACTGTTATGGATGTTGTTTGGTTATATTGATTAAGTTCACCCTTTGAGGTGTTTTGATGTCTGGTTCTGTGCCTCTTATTTTGTTTGACAATTTCTTTGTGCTTTATGTGTTCCACTTTTTGCGATTTTCTCTTGTTGGTGTTCTAGGTTCGGAAGCTCCTTGCCAATTTGTCTAGGAATTTTGTATGTAATAGGGCATGAATGTCTTGTGAGAAGAATTGTAATTTATGTAGGAAGCTTTGGTAATACAATAACAAATGTTAGAAACTAAATGATTCCAATTACAAATGTGAGAGAGTCACATACTTTAACTTAATGTTTATACTTGCACTTTTCTGAATCTTTAGTTTTGTTGTCATACTTTGGTGAATAAAAAGTAATTGGGAATGTTGCAGAAATGGGGAGTGGGGAACTACACATGCGAGAGAATATCACCTTCATAACACAGCTCATCACTTGAAGGTTCGAGATTGGACAAAAGCTACTGGTTTCTTCACGGTTAGAAGATGGCTTGAGAAATGAAGATGCGCCACCAGTTTTGTTTCACCACATAAACATTGTTGTAATAGGAGTGGAATTGGATATTAGTTGTGCTTTGATGTGATCAGCTATTCCTTATTTATTAGTTGTGGTTTCATGAATTAGTAACCATGAAACTAGAGTGGATAGAGAAACTGCATCTGTATATGTTTAGCTAATAAGTAGCCTCGCAATGTAAACTCAAGTTTATGTATTGCGCTTTCTTATTATGCCTCTATTGTTGTCTTAACTATTTTTTCACCTCTGTCTTGACAATTACAAAGCTAAAGTTGGACTAAGAGGTTTACGTATTGCCTTCTTAGCACTTTGTTTTTCACCTCTCTTTGCAATTATAGAGTTAAAATTGGACTTAGGTTTACGTATTGCCTTTTATTGCCCTTTTATTGTGTTCCTATTGCTCCTCTATTGTTGTCTTTGCAATTATAGAGTTGAAAGACTATCAAGTTTAAGTATTGCCTTCTTATTGCCCTTATATTGCTTTCCTATCGTACCTCTATTGTTGTCTTAACTCTTTTTTCACCTCTGTCTTGACAATTATAGAACTGAAGTTGGACTTCCAGGTTTATGTATTTCCTTCTTATTGCCCTTTTATTGTGTTCATATTGCTCCTCTATTGTTGTCTTTGCAATTATAGAGTTGAAAGACTATCAAGTTTAAGTATTGCCTTCTTATTGCCCTTATATTGCTGTCCTATCGTACCTCTATTGTTGTCTTAACTCTTTTTTCACCTCTGTCTTGACAATTATAGAGCTGAAGTTGGACTTCCAGGTTTACGTATTGCCTTCTTATTGCCCTTTTATTGTGTTCCTATTGCTCCTCTATTGTTGTTTTAGCACATTGTTTTTCACCTCTGTCTTTGCAATTACAAAGTTAAAAGACTATTAAGTTTAAGTATTGCCTTCTTATTGCCCTTATATTGCTTTCCTATTGTACCTCTATTGCTGTTTTAACCCTTTTTTCACCTCTGTCTTGACAATTATAGAGCTAAAGTTGGACTTCCAGGTTTACGTATTGCCTTCTTATTGCCCTTTTATTGTGTTCCTATCGTTGCTCTATTGCAGTCTTAGCACTTTTTTTTTCTTAATGTATGTTTTGGCAAACAAATTGTAGTTAGACTATGAATTCTTTGTATTGCCCCTTTATTCCACTGCCCTTGTATTGCACCACAGTTCAATTTAAATTTCTAGCCACCTGCTTTACGTGTCTACACCAATCATGCACATAAACATCATACATACACATTCAATAAATGTTATAAATAGCTGCATCATGATCTATACAATTGGGTACCTATAAGGATACCTATTTCCAAAAACAAAAATAGCGACATGTTAGGAACACAAATTTTACATAAAGTTAGGTAGCAAATATCACCACTTAATGGAATAAGACATACAAACTAAACAATTGTAATATCTAAATGATCTGCTTCTTGTTAGTGACGGGAATAGCTTCTTTGCATGTACTTCGATAATGGCCCTTCACACCGCACCTTGAGCATTTTCTTTCTCGCGAGTCCTCTCCTTTAGAAGGTATTCTTTGCGTCTTACGACGGCCCGGCATAACCTTTGAAATAGGAGGGAGGAGATTTACATTTTGGACATTTTCGGGAATAACCCATGTCCCTTGAGGTGGTACAAGATAAATGGATTCAGCATATGCAGCTGCCCATGTAGCTCGAGTGTAATACGAAGAGGCAAATGAGTATGGGTTCAATTTCAAGTGCCGACATACCGCAATAGCATGCTTGCACGGGAGTTGCTCTAAGTCAAACTTCCTACACGTACAACTATAGTTTTGCAAGTGCACGAGACCGTTCATATCACCATCAAGCACATTATACTCCATATCATTGATTTTAACCACATTCATCCTCGAAGCAGCGTCTAATCTCTTCCTCAACTTCTTTTCACCTAAATCAGGGCACAACATAGATTTACATTTCATTGACAAATCTCGACGTTGACTAAACCAATTCTGAAGCATATTCCTAATTTCCTCGATCAAGTGTACCACCGGAAGCATCCTTGCAAAACGAAGAACTGAATTAATGGACTCTGCAATATTAGTTGTCATGACATTATATCGTCGTCCATCACAATGGGCTCGAGACCACTTATGGAGCCCTGCACGTACTAGATAAGTTTGCACTCGCTCGTTGTTTATCATGGAGAAATAACGATTGAACTCTGCTAGACGGTAAGACTTAGCCGCCCGCACAAAAAACCCCAATATCGGATCCCGCTTCTTCAACTTAAATGAGGCTTTCATATTGCCCTTCAAGTGATAAAAGCAAACACCATGTGCTGCCTCAGGAAAAACTCTTTTCAACCCATTTTCTATGCTAAGATTTCGATCAGATATGACAACAAGATTCGAGCAATCACCAATTGCACAATGTAGTTTTGTGAAAAACCACTCCCAAGCCGCATCCGTCTCTAAATCTCCAATCCCAAAGGCAAGAGGATATATATTACGATTTCCATCAAATGCGGTGGCAACAAACAAAACACCTTTGTACTTGCACTTCAAATGGGTAGCATCAACAGCAATCACAGGACGCATTGAGCACTTAAATCCTCTTATGCATGCACCAATTAACATAAAAAAATATAAAAAGTGGTTGGCTGCATCAGTCTCAATGTATGTCAAAGTTCCAGGATTTGTACGCTCCAATACATAACAATAGGAAGGGAGAAGAGCATATGATTCTTCTGCAGACCCTCTAATTATCTTTAAAGCTAACTCTCGGCTTCTCCAAGCTTTAGAGTAGCTTATGGTCACACCAAAATTTTGTCGCACATCTTTGATGATATCACCTGCAGTATAAATGGTGCGAGAATCCTTGAATCTGCGTTTCACAGAGTCAGACAACAATCCCGTACTAGCTTGAGGATGGTGACTACTAAGATACCTTAGATCACATTCATGAAATGGATCGTATTTAACAACCCTAAACTCATGTAATCCAACTTTATATGCCCGAAGTCGCCAAGGGCAAGGAAGTTGCCAACAACGAACACACAACCTACGTTTCCCAGATTGGACTGTTCTAAATCGAAAGTGGCCTCTGACTGCTGCTAAACATAAGGTTTTTATAAGGGCAATCTTATTTGGAAAAACTCGTCCAACCTTAAAATTTGCTTCCCAATTTATGCAAGAAAGACCTCCACCATAATCAATATCTTCCACACTCTTACCATGCACCAAATGAACCTGGCTTGTATGCATTTGAGTCCAACTTGATTGTTGCGGATTTTCATATTGCACTTGTGTAACCTGCACCATGGAGGCTTGGAAATTGCTTTCTCGATGAGGATGCACGTTTGGTGCAGAGTACGCTTCCTCTTCATTCCTAGGTACACAAAAATCTGCGACTATGTTTTCAACACATTCAAAATTAACATCTTCAACCCAATCTTTCCAATTAAAACCAGTTACACCATTTTCAGTTCCACTATCCCCAATTACCTCATTCCTATCTCTCACAACAACTGCAAGGGGAGCATTGCTATTCCCAATGCTTACAATGCCATTGCAGCCATGAATACCATGTCCTTCTATAACTTTGAGGGTTGCTAATAAAGGGGTTACTCTAGAGGTCATAACGTCCGTGCTGTACTTCAGAAAATATTGAACGTCATCATTGTCTTCAACCTTTAGGTGCTTATAGGCAGATGATGATAGAGGAACTGAATACTTTAGTGTGAGACTATATTTGTTGAGATCTGCATTCGTGATCTTATAAATGCGGTCAACAAGCTCAGAAAAGGTTACGTTCCGTGATACTATTATGCCTTTAGCCTCGCCACCTTCATAACTCTCAATGTTATCCTTGTGAACCCAGCTTTCGTTGTAGAATACCAATATGCCAACAGTCTCCATTTCTGCAAATAACATCAATAAATCAATCTATTTGCATCCCCATCATAAGGTATACTCATTTCTTTACATTACCAAATTAGAAATCAAAATAGAAAACTTAAGTTCTTAGCAAAACTAACCTAACCCAGAATGTCAGTCAAATCCAATTCAAAGACCTAAAATTTCACACTTAAGCATCTAAATTGAGGGAAAAACTAACCTCACTAACCTATTTCTAGGCTAGACAAACTTAAGATCTGATTTTTATGTTTCGTGTTATTTTGTGCAAAATGCTTTATGGGTATTGAAGAAGGGGACAAATATCTTAAAACTCAAAATTACAAACAAGGGTTGCATACCATCAAATTTATTGGCATATATACATATATATTGGCAATTACAAAACAAAGCCATGCATTGGTCTTGAAGCAGCCTATAAAATTCTTCATCACCCTTACTAGTGCACTCTCGGGAGTGTTCAAAAAGCCAAAAGCAATGAAACCAATGCAGAATTGGTGAACTTGTATGGTGTATAAAGTGAGCTATGAAACCTATTTCAAAATTCAAAATAGAATGAATTACATAAAAAACAGTCCTTTTACTCTCAAATTGCAAATTATTTGCTCGTGAAATTTTTTCCAAAAACTTATTTCCTTTCCTTTCAAACAAACAGGATTAGAAGCCAAACCCCTAAAAATCAAAATTGAAGCAAAAACTGACCTAACTTACCTATTTCTATGCTAAAGAAAATCAAGATTTGATTTTTATTTGTTGTGTTACTTTGCAAAATGATTCCTTGGTATTAAAGAAGGGGAAAATTAGCTTAGAACTCAAAGGGACAAAGGATCAGAAGAGAGCACCTGGTGGCAACGGGTCTAGCGGGTTGCTGTTGTTGATGCGTCCTTTTCTATTCCTTATGTTTCTTCTTTGTGTAGGCTTTTGAGGGGTGGGCGTGGTCTCCTCTTGAATTAAGGTGCTGGTCTCAGATGCTCTACGTGCGGCAAGGAGAGAAGAGCTAGAGAGTTGGGTTCAGATCAGAAATAAATTTTTGAGAGGGTGAATATTGAAGTATTTATATGGAGGGTAATTTGGTACTTTCAAGTTAGAAAGTGAGAATT